TAAAAGCATGTATTGTAAATACATTCATTCTTATTTGCATTTTGAATTTCTGTTCTTCTTTTTATTAAGTAATTATGTATTACGTAATAAATTAATCATAAAAAATATATTGTTCTTATCGTTATATTTATATTATTTTTACTCTTTTATTTAATTTTTGTACTCTTATTATCAAACAATTACTTATTTATAAAAAAAATTTATGCATGTAAAAATTAATTTCAACTTTCTTATATGCTCTTTAGGCATCGTATTTTGTAATGTTATATAATTATGATAAAAAATAAAATTTTAATTGATAATATAAAGAATAAAAAAAAAAAACCCATTTTATTGTACCCAAAATTTATTTATAACTACGATTGAAAATCAATCGATGTTATTGCAACAATTATAATTTATGATTATCTGATTATTCTATATTTTATTTTATTTTGCTTTGTTTTTTTCTTTTTTAGTTATTATATTAATGTTAAACATATGCTTTTTCTCCTAAAAAAGAATGAAAATTTTTCAAAAACATATTTTTTTCACTTAAAAGAAATTGTTAAATAAATTTTTAATTAATGGTATTAAATATATAATGTTCATTTGTATTATTTTATGAATTATATTTCATTTATGTCAATATTTATGTCAATACAAGAAATTTTTATAAAATTTGAAAAATAAATTTTTTATAGCATACCTAAAACATCTTTCCATGTTCAATACTTACTATTTCTTCCTAATCATTTAAAATTTTGATTACTTAATTTTACTTTTTGAAAAACTAATAATAATTATAATAAAATATATATGAAACTATATAAGAGAAATATATTAAAATAAAGTAACAAATAAAAATTAATTTTTATTAAAAAAATTTTTTTAAGTAGAAAAAAAAAAAAAATTAACAAAAGAAATAATATTATCTAGAATATCATAAAATATCCTTAAAACATTATCAATTAAAAAATTTATAAATACTTAAAATATCCCTACTTTCAAATTATATAAAAAAAAAAAAATGAATTCATTATTTTTTTTAATAAAATATTTAATGTTTGCATTTTTGATCTTGATATTGCAATATTCTAACAATGTAAGATAATAATAAAACTCTAAAATTATATCTTTTTATTATTTTATATAATTTTCTTTTAAATAAATTTTTATTGATAAAAAAAAAAATTTTTTATATGTTAAATATTTATTTCATTCTTAGATTTCTTTCGAATCTTGGAACATTAAAAAAATCTCAGAAGGAACTTTTCGTTTAAAGGCTAAAAGAACATTATCAGAAAATATATTTAAAAAGTCAAAAAGTGAATCCACAGAAAACCTATTAGATGCATTAGAAAAAGAAGAAATATATGAGAAACAAGATGAAATGGAGAAAAATCTTATAAAATCAAATGCACCGAAATCAATTTTTCATTCATTTATTATACCAAAACCTTCAGAAACAATAGTAGAGCTATTAAATGAACATAATGTTAACAAACAAGAAGTAACCAAATATATAAATAAATCCATTGGTAGTTTCTTTTTTTCTCTTATTTCCTTGTCATTACCACTCTATTTGGTTTATTTAAGTCATATGGAATACTTTTATAATTGGAAAGAACATAGTGAAATGTATCGTCTTCTAATGAGTTATTGTATTCTAATGATTTCATGTTTCATATGTTTACTCTATCATAAGGTAGCATAATATCTATAACACTTTTAATGATTACACAGAAACCAAATGTAAAGATAAATTCATTGGTACTTTATTATTTTCTCATTCTTTCTTGTCATTAATACATTGTTTAATTTTTTAAATTATATGGCAGTCTTTTTTAATTCGAAAGAACATATTAAAATGTCTCTTATTATAGTAAGTTATTGTATTATATTGATTTCATGTTTCATATTTTTACTCTTTCGTAAGGTAGCATAATACCCATAACACTTTTAATGACTACACATTTTATAAAAACAAGGATAATAAAAAAAAATAAAAAATGAATTATAAACATTGATGAAATCTTAAATTCTACATTAGATTTAAAAATAATATTGAAAAAACTTCTTATTTAATTTATTTTGCAAGAATATACCTATGATTATATTCTTCAAAAGTAAAAAAAAATATACCCTCTTTTTTAAAAAAATATGAAAAATCTTCTCTATTATTTTATATATTCATTGAAATACATTATACTTTTTATATATATACATGTTATTTTTTTTATAAATTTATTTAAATTAATATTGCATAGTTAAGATAAGAGTTGTATTTTTTAAAAAATTACCATTCATTTTTATGTCCACTCCTTAATAAACTGATTGTTAGTTTTTATGCTTTAATTACATTCTTAAGAAGTATAATATAAGATAAAAATATATTATGTATGGTTAATAAAAGACTTCATTAAAATTTTTGGCTATAAAAAGGACTAGCTACGTATAGAATACGTAGTTGATGGTACTAACTAAAAAAAAAAAAAAAAAAAAAAAATTATTGGAACTTTTTTTTTTTGAGATATTTTTCTTTTGAAAAAGATGAAGATAAAAAAAAAAAAAAAAAGATTTTATTTTTTTTTTGGCAAAGGAAACAGAATGATTTATTGAGAGAGAGATTTTTTTTACAAAAGATAATAATGTTTTGATAAAAGAATTTAATTTGCATAATATTTATATTTTGAATTTGTGAGAGAAAATTTTATACATGTGATAATAAAATTTTTACGTAATTAATATTCATATAATTTAATTACATTTTTATTAATTGTTTATGTTTGTTAATTCAACAGCAATATGTTTAAAATACCGAACATAACTCATAACAAAGAAATAAGTAATTTACATTTAATTAATAATCAATGTTCAATAAGGATTAAAATTTAAATAAAAATAAGGATTATAATTAAAGTAAATAAATGCCTATTGAAATTAAAGAATACTGAATGAAGTAGATTACATAATTAAGAATTACTCGTTCAATGTATTTAAAAATATATAAAAATACATAAAAACCGTAGAGACAACTCTACATGCTCTTTATTAATTTGTTTGTTCAATACTCTAGCAAAGTCACGGAACACCCAGTTAATAAAACAATATTCTAGCAATGTTATTGAATAAGAAATAAATAAATTAATATTTCAACTGAAAAATTAATCTTTTCAAAAAAAATTAAAATATATTTTTTTTTTGTATTTAAATATTAGAAAAAGAATACAAAGTAATTAACAATTATTTTTTTATTTTATTTTATTTTATTTTTTTTTTTTTTTTTTTTTGTATCTAGAATTTACATGTATAACTATATATTTTCCATACAACTATAATTGTTTATTTTAAAAAGGTTAATTATACATTTTATTAACCAACATGCAATTGTTAAGTAAAAAAAAAAGAAAAATATTAGTTAATGTTTTTTTTATTTTTGTAATTTAAATACACAAAAAAATAAATTTTTACTTTTTTTAAAAGGAATTTAGTAATCGAAAAATAGAAAAAAAAGTTATTGACTAAAAAAGCTTATTGTGGTGTATTTATGTATAAATTTTAATAAGAAAATTTTATATTAACTATAATAAAATTTTTGTTTTTTATAGTACTTACGTAATTTAATTTGAATTTTATCAATTATTTATGCTAGTTAATTTGAGAGCAATAAATTTGAATTATTGAATATAAATCATAATATAAGTTAAATAAATGTAATTAATGGTTTATTAATTTCCTATTCATTACTTTACTAGAGTATTGAATAAAAGGATTAACAATGAGCAGGTAGAATTTCTTCTACAATTTAAATTAATTTAAATTTGTTTTTAAAACTATAAACCATTGAAATGTGTATGGTTTCCTTCATTGAATATTTATTACTTTTATGAGGCATTTAATTATTTTAATAAAAATCCCTGTTTTTATTAAAAATTTAAATCTTTATTAATTATAGTTTTAAGTAACATATATATTACTTATCATGTTATGACTAATTTTTAACAATTCAAATTCACTTCCCGCGAATTAGCAAATATAATTAACAAAACACAAAATAAGTTATATAATACTAACACGAAAATTTTATTATTGTTAATATAAAATTTTCTCTTTAAAATTCGAAGATAAAATTTTGCCACGAAAAAACTTTTCATCAATTTTTCTTCTATTTTTAAATAACTTGAATATTTTTTTCACGCTATTCAATTCTTTTTTTCTTCATTTATCTAGTACTTTCATGTCTGTTTATTTTCCATACAGCTATTAATTTTTTTCTCAAAATCGCTAATAATTCCTTTTATTAACAAATCATTAACACTAATAATTCTCGATAAAGACTTTTTTTCTTTTCCTTTTTTTTTCCTTTTTGTTTCCTTTTTTTGTCATGTAGATAAGCTGGTAATAATTCTGCATCCAACTTTTTTTCTTCTATTTTATCCTCTACATTTACTAACTCATTTATTTATTTTCCATAATTTACATTTTTAATTTATTAAATTATCATTCAATGAATTTGCTAATGTAATGAAAAAGAAATTATTAAAGAGAATATAAAGATTTCTCTAGTAATTAAATGGATTTTAAATATAATTTTAATGATATAAACAAGTAAACTGCAATAATGCAGTTCATTGTGAATTTACTTTGATAAAAATTATGCATTTTAATTGAAAACATATATTCTCATTAATTATTAATTTTTAAGTACAAAATATTTATTGCTTTTTATAAGTAATATTCAGTAACATAAGTTTACTGCTTTTAAATATAATAAAAATACTTAAATAACAAAAAAAAAATTTTAATTATATTAATATCACTTAATGAAAATTTTATTCCTAAAAATTAAAAAATATTCTCATGAAATTTTTTCTTTCTAAAAAATTTTTCTTTTTTAATTTGTTTTTTTTTTAAAAAATAAAATATATCTCTATAAAAAAAATTTGGTCAAAATATTAATTTTTCCCTATTTTAACTAGATCCTGTGCGTGAATAATCCTTTATTCTCTGTTAAACTATTAATTTTTATTATCGTAAATTTTATTAATCTTATGAAAAATTAAATGTTTCATAAAATCAAAATTCTTAATATTTATTTTATTTTTTCTCTGTTCTTTCTTAGATTTGGATTCTGCTTCATTTTCTGTTATCTCTTTCATAGATTCGGATTCTGTTTTATTGTCTGTCATCTCTTTATTAGATTCGGATTCTGTTTTATTATCTCTCAGCTCTTTATTATATTCGGATTCTATTTTATTGTCTCTCATCTCTTTGGTAGATTCGGATACTGTTTTATTGTCTTTCATCTCTTTTGTAGATTCGGATACTATTTTATTGTCTTTCATCTCTTTCCTAGATTCGGATTCTCTTTTTTTGCGCCTCATCTCATTCTTACATTCGCATAAAAATTTCACAAATTCTATGTGGAGTTCTTTCTTAACACTATCAATTAATTTTCCTTTTTCTTCTTCTGAAATATCACTTCGATGAAATATTGAAGATAGTTCGTTAGCTTTCTTATCTGAAATTTTTTTCCATTTAACATTCCATTTTTTTTCTTTCACTTTAGGATCCATTCCACTTGTTTCTTGATTAAATTCCTCCCACAATTGTGGATTAATAACATTATGCCAATAATCATACGGATTCTCGTATTGAACCGGATCTTCACATTTGTTTTCTTTATTATCTAATGGAAATTTTTCTAGGCATTCTTCAGCTTTTGTTTGCTCTTTTCCTTCTGTGTTACCCTCTGCTAATATTCTTTCATATTTTAACTCATTTTTTGTTTGTAATATATATTTATCAATTAATGTTTTATAGGAATCACACTATGGATTAAATAAAAATTTTTTAAAAGATTGTTTCTTTTATTAGAATAGTAAATCACATGGAATATTAAAAATAATTAGAAATAAAATATATCTATATGTATATTTTTTGTAAAAATTTTAACTTACGTTATAAAAAAATTGATACATCCAAATTAAAAGAAGGAATGTAGTAATTTTTAAAAATAAAATTAACGTTTTCATATTAATATATTAATATATTTATAGAATAATATTGAAATGGAAGTTGTTAATTCAGATGTAAAATTTTTCAATTTTCAATAATTCTAAATTATGGATTTGTAATATTAATTTGGATATTATTATAACTTGTATTAATTTCTTAAATTTTTAAAATAGAAAATTATTTTCATATATGAAATGTAATTTCTAATTTTTTATTATTACTTATTATATTATGGTTACATTAGATAGGAACAACATTCTTAATTCCTTAAAAAATAAAATATGAACGTTAATTTACAAATAAATAAAAAATATAATAAATCGGATAAAGTTATTTTAAAAATATTTTATTAAAATTTTGTTTATCTTTGAATTATTTAAAAAAATTAAATATTTCTTATTTAATGCGTATAAAAATTATAAATGATATACATTTAATGTTAAAGGATTTTTTTTATTTTTTTTTTCTAAACTACCAATCTCTGTGAATTATGTCGAACTTTATATTATTTTATATACAGTATATTGTGATTAATAAATATAAATCTTCATGTATTATATATATTTATCTCCATCAAAAAAAGAAAAAAAACTCTATAAATTAAAAATTTTTATACGCATGTATTTTTCATGCAGTATACTACATTTGTCACAATTTTTCACTTAATAAAAACTAATTTTTGTTTGTGTATATTTTTCTTTTAAATATAACTTTTTTGATTTTTCTAAAATACTTTTATTATCTTATTTCTTTTTTTTTTTATTTTTATTATTGATAAATATTTATACAATATATGTATATATTTATTTTTTGTTATAACTATTTTTTAAAAAAAATTACTTTTTCAACTATTTGAAAAAAAATGAAAAAAATTTATTAAGTACTTAAATTCAAAAGAAAAAGTGAAAATAGGTATTTACACTAAAGAGATTATGATAACAAATCTCATAATAAGAAAATTTAAAAGTCAAATAAATTAATTACAATTTAAAAAAAAAAAAGAAAAATACTATTTTTTAATAATATATTTACAGTTTAAGATATTTTTTAAAAAAAGTTTTATTTTTTGACAAATTTACTTAATTTATTCTAAAAATACATTTTTATAAATTTACTTTTTTACGAGTAATATTTATTAGTTTTAGAATTAATATTAATGTTATTTACTAAATATAAAAATATATCTTTAATTTAATATAATAGATTTTTTCTTATAAAATTCAAAAGAATACATTTTTATTGCAATATAAAAAATATCATAAATTAAGATAAAACAGAATTATAAAATAACTTTCTGCATATATATTATTATAATCTTCTAATTAAATATAATAAAAAATTATTTTATTTTTTTTTTTTTTGCCTTTATATATTTATTTGATAAGTGTTCATTATTATTACGATGTGTTTATTTTCTTTTTTATTTCTAGTTTTATATATTTTTTAGCACAATTTTTTATTTTTCATTTTACTTACCGAAAAATTTTGGTAACTCATTTATATAGTTTAAATGAATTCAACAATTGTCCCTCCATAAAATAACTTTTTTCTTAAAAGGTTAAATTTTATAAGACACCTTTGTAAATATTAATGCAGAATTTTAGTATAAATTTTTATTTTTTAAATTTAATTTGTTACAATCTTTGACGCATTATTAATAAACGTAGTGTGTATAAATACTATCATTTTTATTATTTTAACACTAATTTTTCTCTAAGAAATAATCATAAATTTAATAAAAGTGCATTTTTCATGATTTATATTTTTTTAATATTATATGTAGAAGTTGTTCTTACAAGTAAAAATATGCAAAATGTTAAAGTGTCTTACATTTAACATAGATATTACATGATATTAAAATGATTTGAATAGTGTGTGTATTGGAGATATAGAAACTTAAATTATCTAAATAACAGTTCATGAAGTATTAAAATTGTTATAATTATTATAAATAGGATAATATTCCTAAGGAAAAGAAATTTTTTATAGCTCTGATTTATTAATGATTATTAAATTACTTTTCTAGTGTCAAACATATAAATTAATAATGAATATATAGTGTAAACTCTACTTAATTTTAATATAAAATTTTTATTATTATTAATAAACATTAAATATTGCTTAGTTAATTATTTTCTTTTTAATAAAGCAACACTCCAAAATGTAATTTCCTTAATATTACATTTTAGCTTAAAATAAAAATATACATTCTATAGTAGTCTTCACATTATCTTCCAAAAAAAAAAAAAAGAAAAACTAATTTTTTTTTTTAAGAATACATTTTTTTTTGTAATATAAAAAATATAATCGTAATATATATTTTTTTTCAATTGTAAATACATACACAAAAAAAATATTGTTATTTATTTATTTTTTTTTAAGTGCGTCTACTTTAAGTGCAAGTATGTATATACACATATTTTTTGTTTACATACTTTTTGAATAACTAATTTAGTGAAGACATTTATTATATCATATTGTCCTTGCGAATTAGCATGCACAAATTGAAATGTTTTTATTCTATTTGTTAGTCTAAATATTATACAAAAACGGTAAATAGTATTGTTTATTTTTTTTATTAACTGGTTGTTTGGTAACTTTGCTAGAGTACTGAACAAACAAATTAATAATGAGCATGTAGAGTTGCCTCTACGTTTTTGATGTATTTATATATACTTTTATATGCTTTGAACGAGTGATTCTCAATTATATACTCTACTTCGTTCAGCTTTCTTTGATCTTAATAGGCATCTATTTACTTTAATAAAAATCCTTATTTTTATTAAAAATTTAAATCCTTATTGAATATTTATTATTATTTAATTGTTATTTATTTATTTATTTGTTATGACTTATGTTCAGTAATTTAAACATATTGCTGTTGAATTAACAAACATAAACAATTAGTAAAAATACAAATAAATCATATGAATATTAATTACATGAAGATTTTATTGTCATATGTATAAAATTCTATTTTATAAATTCAAAATGTAAATATTATACAAATTAAACTCTTTACAAAAACATTATTATCTTTTGTAAAAAAAATCTCTTCCTCAATAAAAATCTCTTTCCTTCCCAAAAAAAAAAAAAAAAACCTTTTTTTTATTTTTTCTTTTATCTTTATCTTTTTCAAAAGAAACATATCTCAAAAACAAATTATAATAATTTTTTTTTTTTTTTTTTTTTTTTTTTTTTTTTTAGATAGCACAACTAACTACGTATTCTCGACATAGCTAATCCTTTTATAGCCAAAAAGGTTAATAAAGTCTTTTATTAAGCAACTAGTCATGAATTTAATGAATATTTTACATAAGAATTACAGATTAAATTATATCATACCAGGGCATATCATCCACAAGAAAATGGTATAAATGAAATCTTTCATAAAAGCTTAGATTATATCATTAAGACTTTATATGAAGAAAAAGATCTATCTTTTGAAGAAATAGTACAAAATGCAGTACTAATATATAATAATACACCTCATGGAGAGATAGGAGAGACACTCTATTTTGCTATGTTTGGAATAGATTGTATCTGTCCAAGGTTTGCAAAATTATTACCAGAAACAACTTCTAAAATGTGAATCATATACTTAAACGATCGATGGAAAAACATACATGAAGATGTTAATGAAATCAAAGAATACCTATAATTGAGAATAAAAATATTAAGGTTGGAGATAATATCTCATAGGAATTATTGGAATGAGAAAGGAATCAAATGAAACACTATAGTGGGAATATACAATATAAATCTTATTGGTCATTTCCTCACAAAGTAACTAAAATTGCAAAAAAATTTTAAAAGCAATACCTATATACTATAGAGATAAAGAAGTACAAATTCCGACGTCAAAAATAAAATTGTTAAGTAACAAAACCAGAGAGATATATGAAGAGCAACTGGAGAATTTAATACAAGTTACGAATAAAAATAAAAGGAAACTAAATGTGATGCATGATTTAAAGTCTAAAGGTTACCTAGATATTCATAAACGGAATAGCATTCTAACATATGGCATTAACGATAATCTGGACAAGCAAATTGATAAAAGAGTACAAATAGGACTTGATGTAATAAAACAAGCCAAAAATAACAAACTTTAAGTAATAACCATTACTTTCCCATGTTGGTATAGTATGGTTAATAAAAGGTATCATTAACCTATTTGGTAATAAAAAGGACTAGCTATATGAAGAATACGTAGTTGGTCAGCACACGCAAAAAAAAAAAAAATGATGATGAATTTTTTTTTTATTTTTCTTTAAAAAAAAAAGAATGATATGTAAAAAAAAACATATTTATTTTTTTCAAAAGATTTAAATGAGAAGAAAAATATTAGTAAAAAAAAAATTGATAGTAACATATAGTGTCAACAAAAATGAGATCTTAAACAGATAAAAAAATATTTACATAAAAGAGTTTAATTTGCATAATATTTATATTTTTAATTTTTAAGAGAAAATTTTATACATATGACAATAAAATTTTCGCGTAATTAATATTCATATAATTAATTTTCATTTTTAATAATTGTTTATGCTTGTTAATTCAACAGGAATATATTTAAATTGCTGAACATAACTCATAACAGAGAAATAAATAAATTACATTTAATTAATAATTAATGTTCAATGAGGATTTAAATTTTTAATAAATATAAGGATTTTTATTAAAGTAAATAAATACGTCTTGAAATTAAAGAATGCTGAATGAAGTATATTACATAATTAAGAATCGCTCGTTTAAAGCATATAAAAGTATATATAAATACATAAAAATCGTAGAGGCTACTCTACATGCTCTTTATTAATTTATTTGCTCAATACTCTAGCAAAGTCACCGAACATACAATTAATAAACCAGCTGATAATAATTCTGCATCCAACTTTTTTTCTTCTATTTTATCCTCTACATTTACTACCTGATTTATATACATTGCAAAATTTACATTTTTAATTTATTAAATTATCATTCAACGAATTTGCTAGAGTAATGAAAAACAATCAATAAAAAGAATAAAAAGTTTGCTCTAGTAATTAAATGAATTTTAAAACTAATTTTAATGATATAAACAAGTAATATGCAATAATGCGGTTCACTGTAAATTTACATTCATAAAAATTATGTATTTTTATTAAAAACATATATTCTCATTAATTATTAATTTTTAAGTACAAAATATTTATTGCTTTTGATAAGCAATTTTCAGTAATTTAAGTTCACTGCTTTTAAAAATAATACAAATACATAAATAGTAAAAAGAGCTTTAATTATATTAATATCATTTAACGAAAATTTTATTCCTAAAAATTAAAAAATATTCTCATGAAATTTTTTCTTTCTAAAAAATATTTCTCTTAATTTTTTTTTTTTTTAAAATAAAATATATCTCTATAAAAAAAATTTAGACAAAATATTTCTCTTTTATAAAACTAGATCTTACGCATGAATAATCCTATATTCTCTGTTAAAGCATTAATTTTTATTCTCTTAATGGTTATCGAACCTATTAAAAATGAAATTTCCAAGTATTTGATTTCTTATTTTTTATTTTATTTTTTCCCTGCTCTTTCTTAGATTCGGATTATGTTTTATTGTCTCTCATCTCTATCTTATATTCGGATTCTGTTTTACTGTCTATCATCTCTTTTTGAGATTCGGATTCTGTTTTATTGCCTCTCATCTCTTTCTTACATTCGTCTAAAAATTTCACAAATAATTCGAAGAGTTCACCCTTAACAGTAAGCATTAATTTTTCTTTTTCATTTTTTGGAATATTTCGCATATATATAGAAGATAGTTCATCAACTTTGTTCGCTGAAATATTATTCCATTCATTATTCCATTTTTCGTTTATCCATTTAGGATCCATTCCACTTGTTTCATTTTTAAATCGCTCAAACAATGTTGGATTAATGACTTTCTGCCATCGATCGTACGGTTTCTGGCGTTTTAGTGGATTTTTCCATTTTTTTTTTTTTTCTTCTATTGTACATTCTTCTTGGCATCCTTCAGCGTAAGTTTGCTTTTCTCCTGCTGTGTCACCCTCTGTTAGTACTCTTTCATATTTTAACTCATTTCTTATTTGCAATCTATTTTTATCAATTAAAGTTTTATAGGAATCACCCTATGGATTAAATAAAAATATTTTTAGAAGAATGTTTCTTTTGTTAGAATAGTAAATCAAATGAAATGTTAAAAATAATTAGAAATAAAATATATCTATATGTATATTTTTTGTAAAAATTTTAACTTACATTATAAAAACAATGATACATCCAAATTAAAAGAAGGAATGTAGTAATTTTTAAAAATAAAATTAACGTTTTCATATGAATATATTTATAGAATAATATTGAAGTGGAAGTTGTTAATTCAGGTGTAAAATTGTTTCAATTTTCATTAATACTAAATTATGGATTTGTAATATTAATTTAGATATTACTATAACATATATTAATTTCTTAAATTTTTAAAATAGAAAATTATTTTCATATATAAAATGTAAATTCTAATTTTTTATTGTTACATATGATATTATGGTTACTTTAGATAGGAATAATATTCTTAATTCTTTAAAACATAAAATAAAAATATTAATTTACAAATAAATAAAAAATATAATAAATTGGATAAGGTTATTTTAAAAATATTTTATTAAGATTTAATTTATCCTTAAATTATGTAAAAAAATTAAATATTTATAATTTAATGCGCATAAAAATTATAAATGATATAAATTTAATGTTAAAGGATTTTTTTTATTTTTTTTTTCTAAATTACTAATCTCTGTTAATTATGTCGAACTTTAAATTATTTTATATACGGTATATTATGATTTATAAATATAAATGTTCGTATATTATAGAGATATATCTCCATCAAAAAAAAAAAAAAAACTCTATAAATTAGAAATTTTTATACGCATTTATTTTTCATACAGTATACTACATTTGTCATAATTTTTCACTTAATATGAAACTAATTTTTGTTTGTGTATATTTTTCTTTTAAATATAACATTTTTGATTTCTCTAATATACTTTTTTTTGTCCTAATTCTTTTTATTTTATTTTTATTATTTATAAATATTTATACAATATATATATACATTTATTTTTTGTTATAACTAATTTTTAAAAAAAATTACTTTTTCAACTATTTGAAAAAAAATAAGAAAAATTTTATTAAGTACTTAAATTCAAAAGAAAAAGTGAAAATAGGTATTTACGTTAAAGAGATTATGATAACAAATCTTATAAAAAGAACATTTAAAAGTCAAATAAATTAATTACAATTTAAAAAAAAAAAAAAAAAATACTATTTTTTTAATCATGTATATACAGAAAAAAATATTTTTTAAAAAAAGTTTTATTTTTTGATAAAATTAATTATTTTATTATAAAAATATATTTTTGTAAATTTACTATTTTACTAGTAATACTTATTAGTTTCAAATTTAATATAAATGTTATTTAATGAATATAAAAATATATCTTTAGTTAAATTAATAGATTTTTTCTTATAAAATTCAAAAGAACGCATTTTTATTGTGATATAAAAATTATTGATAAATAAAGAAAAAAAAAGAATTATAAATTAACTATTTGCATATATATTATTATAACCTTCTAATTAAATATAAGAAAAAATTACTTTTTTTTTTTTTTTTTTTTTGTCTTTATATATTTATTTGATAAGTGTTGATTATTATTACAATGTGTTTATTTTCTTTTTTATTTTTAGTTTTATATATTTATAGCACAATTTTTATTTTTCCTTTTACTCACGAAATTTAGGTAACTCATTTATATGGTATTGATTTATTAACTGGGTGTTCGGTGACTTTGTTAGAGTAATGAACAAACATAATAATAAAGAGCATGTAGAGTTTCCTCTACGATTTTGATGTATTTATATATATTTTTATATGCTTTGAACGAGTGATCCTTATTTATGTTATCTACTTCATTCAGCATTTTTCACTTTCAATAGGCATTTATTTACATTAATAAAAATCACTATTTTTATTAAAAATTTAAATCTTCATTGAAAATTGACTATAAATTAAATGTAAATTATTTATTTCATCATTATGAGTTATGTTCAGCAATTTAACTATATTGCTGTTCAATTAACAAACATTGACAATTAGTAAAAACTCAAATTAATTATATGAATATTAATTAAGTTAAAATTTTATTGTCATATGTATAAAATTTTTTCTCACAAATTAAAAATATAAATTTTATGCAAAATTAAACTCTTTTATATGTAAATATCTTTTATCTGTTTAGGATCTCATTTTTATTGGTACTAAATCTTACTGCCGATTTTTATTTTACCAATTTTCTCTCTTTCATTAAATCTTTTTAAAAAAAATGAATATATTTTTTTTTTACGTATCCCCATTTCTTAAAAGAAAAAATAAAAAAAAATTCAACAGTTTTTTTTTTTTTTTTTTTTTTTTTTGCGTGTGCGTGACCAACTACGTATTCTTCATGTAACTAGTCCTTTTTATTACCAAAAAGGTTAATGAAGTCTTTTATTAAAAAGCATAAATGAACTCAACAATTTTCCCTTCCTAATATAACTTTTTTCTTAAAAGGTCAAATTTTTTAAGACATCTTTGTAAATATTAATGCTGAATTTTAATAAGAATTTTTATTTTTTAAATTTAATTTGTTAAAATCACTGACGTATTATTAATAAAAAGTAGTGTGTATAAATACTATCATTTTTAATATATTAACACTAATTTTTCTCTAAAAAATAATCATAAATTTAATAAAAGTACATTTTTTATGATTTATATTTTTTTAATATTATATATAGAAGTTGTTCTTACTAGTAAAAATATGTAAAATATAAAAGTGTCTTACGTTTAACATAGATATTAAAATAATTTGAATAGTTTGGGTATTGCAGATATAGAAACTTAAATTATCCAAATAACATTTCATGAAGTATTAAAATTATTATAATTATTATAAATAAGATAATATTCCTAAGGAAAAGAAATTATTTATAGCTCTGATTTATTAATGATTATTAAATTACTTTTCTAGTGTCAAACAAATAAATTAATAAGGAAAATGTAGTGTAAACTCTACTTAATTTTAGTATAAAATTTTTATTTTTATTATTAAGCATTAAATATTACTTAGTTAATTATTTTTTTTTTAATATAAGCAACACTTCAAAATGTAATTTCCTTAATATTACATTTTAGCTTAAAACAAAAATATATATTCTATTATAGTTTGCACATTATCCTCCAAAAAAAAAGAAAAATTAATTTCTTTTTTTAAGATTACATTTTTTTTTGTAATAAAAAAATATCATTATAATATATATTTTTTTTTAATTGTTAATACCCACATAAAAAAAAATATTATTATTTGTTTATTTTTTTTTTTAAGTGCGTTCACTTTAAGTGCAAGTATGTATATACATATATTTTTTGTTTACATACTTTTTGAATAACTATTTTAGAGCAAGCATTTATGATAGCAAATTGTCCTTGCGAAATAGCATGCACAAAATAGAATGTTTTTATTCTATTTATTCGTCTAAATATTATACAAAAATGGTAAATAGTATTATTTAGAGAGCAATGTATTAACCAATATAAACAACATAGATAAAGCTAAATATGTTCAAAATTCGTCAAGAAAACTTAGTGACACGCAGCGGAAATAGAGTACAATATAAAAAAAATAATTTTCAATTGTTACAACTTGTGAAACATTTGATTATTATATTAAAGGATCTATGGTATTGATTTATTAATTGGATGTTCGCTGACTTTGCTAGAGTATTGAACAAACAAATTAATAAAGAGCAAGTAGAGCTGCCTCTACGATTTTCATGTATTTATATATATTTTTAAATGCTTTGAATGAGTGATCCTAAAATATGTAAATTCATCATAAAAAAATATATTTTCTTTCCTTTCCAAAAAAAAAAATTCTTTCTTTTTTATTTTTTTTTTTTTATTTATTTGTAACAAATATTTTTCTAATAGATTTTTTTAATCAATTTTTTTCCTGACGATCTTTGCATTTTTTTTTATCAAATTTTTTTTCTGACAGTCTTTGTTCTTTTTTTATAAAAAAAACAAGTACAAACAAAAAAAAAATCATCAATATTTTTTTTTTATGTGTGTGCACGATCAACTTCGTATTCTTCTTTTAACTAATCCTTTTATTTTCCAAAAAGGTTAATAAAGCCTTTTATTAATCAATTATAGAAGAGGAAGATTGTATATATCAGAAAAATATAGAAATCATTTAATGTATTGGTTTCATAGTAGTGAATTCGCAAAACATTGTGGAGTAAATAAAACACTAAAGAAAATACTAAAATATTTTTGGTGGCCCAATATTAGTAAAAATATTGAAGAATACATCACAAATTGTTTAATTTGTCATGTAATGCTTAATAGGAAATTTAAACCCAACAATAATCAAGCTTTATCAAAACCTAATTTATTTGATATGGTTTCATTAGTTATTATAGGACTTAAAATATGGTAGGTACAGAATACAATATACAAGTAGAAATAGATCATCATTGACGTTTTATGATAACTAATATAACTAATAAAACACCTAATGCTACGGACGCAAGTAACATTATAAAGAAAACATGGATACCTATATTTGGATGCCCTAGAATCATTTTAACAGATCTCGGTTCAATTTATACTAGTCAAGAATTTAATGACTATATTACTGGTTAATAAAAGGCTTCATTAACCTTTTTGGAAAATAAAAAGATTAGTTAAATGAAGAATACAAGTCGGTCATGCACAAACACACAAGAAAAAAAAAAAAAAATTGATGATTTTTTTTTGGTTTGTACTTTTTAAAAAGAAAGTACAAAGACTGTCAGGAAAAAAATATTTGATAAAAAAATGTAAAAATAGTCAGGAAAAAATTGATTAAAAAAAAAAAAAAAAAAAGAATTTTTTTTTTAGTGAGAAATTAAATGAAATTTTTTTATGATGTATTTTGTAAAAGAAAATTTTATACATATAACAATAAAATTTTCACGTAATTAATATTTATATAATTAATTTGTATTTTCACTAATTTTTTTATGTTTGTTAATTCAACAGCAATATATTTAAATTACTGAACATAACTCATAATAAAGAAATAAGTAATTTACATTTAATTAAAAATTAATGTTCAATGAGGATTTAAATTTTAAATAAAAATAAGGATTTTTATTAAAGTAAATAAGTGCCTATTGAAATTAAAGAATGCTGAATGAAGTAGATTACATAATTAAGAATCGCCAGTTCAAAGCATATGAAAGTATATATAAATACATCAAAATCGTAGAGGCAACTCTACATGCTCTTAATTAATTTGTTTGCTCAGTACTCTAGCAAAGTCACCGAACATACAATTAATAAACCAGCTGATAATAATTCTGCATCCAACTTTTTTTCTTCTATTTTATCCTCTACATTTACTACCTGATTTATATACATTGCAAAATTTACATTTTTAATTTATTAAATTATCATTCAACGAATTTGCTAGAGTAATGAAAAACAATCAATAAAAAGAATAAAAAGTTTGCTATAGTAATTAAATGAATTTTAAAACTAATTTTAATGATATAAACAAGTAATATGCAATAATGCGGTTCACTGTAAATTTACATTCATAAAAATTATGTATTTTTATTAAAAACATATATTCTCATTAATTATTAATTTTTAAGTACAAAATATTCATTGCTTTTTATAAATAATTTTCAGTAATATATGCTCACTGCTTTGAAAAATAATAAAAATACTTAAATAATAAAAAAAAAATTTTAATTATATTAATATTACTTAATGAAAAAATTACTCTTAAAAATTAAAAAATATTCTCATGGATTTTTTTCTTTTTAAAAAATTTTTCTCTTTTAATTTTTTTTTTTTTTAAAAAATAAAATATATCTCCATAAAAAAAATTTAGACAAAATATTAATTTTTTTCTTTTTAACTAGATCTTGCGCATGAAAAATCCTATATTGTCTGTTAACCATTAATTTTTATTCTCTTAATGGTTATCAAACCTATTTAAAAGAAATTTCAAAATATATTTATTTCTTATTTTTTATTTTATTTTATCCCTGCTATTTCTTAGATTTGGATTGTGTTCTATTGTCTCTCATCTCTTTCTTACATTTGTCTACGAATTCCATAAATAGTTTGAAGAGTTCTGTTTTAGTATCAAGAATTAATTTTTCTTTTTCTTCATTTGAAATATCACTTCGCTTATATATTGAAGATAGTTCATTAACTTTGTTCTCTGAAATTTTATTCCATTCATTCTTCCATTTTTCTTCTATCCATTTAGGATCCTTTCCACTTATTTCATTTTTAAATCGCTCCAACAATAATGGACTAGTGAATTTCTGCCATAGATCGTATGGATTACTCAATTTTCGTGGATTTTTCGATATTTTTTTTTTTTCTTCTTTTTCTTTATTTTCTGCGGGACATTCTTCTTGGCATCCTTCAGCGTTAGTTTGCTTTTTTCCTGCTATATCACCCTCCGCTAATACTCTTTCATATTTTAACTCATTTTTTATTTGCAATCTATTTTTATCAATCAAAGTTTTATAGGAATCGCACTATGGATTAAATAAAAATTTTTTTAGTAGAATGTTTCTTTTGTAAGAATAGTAAATCAGATGGAATGTTAAAAATAATTAGAAATAAAATATATCTATATGTATATTTTTTGTAAATATTATAACTTACGTTGTAAAAACATTGATACATCCAAATTAAAAGAAGGAATGAAGTAATTTTTAAATATAAAATTAACGTTTTCATATTAATATATTAATATATTTATAGAATAATAATGAAGTAGAAGTTGTTAATTCAGGTGTAAAATTGTTTCAATTTTCAATAATACTAAATTATGGATTTGTAATATTAATTTAGATATTATTATAACTTGTATTATTTTCTTATACTTTTAAAGTAGAAAATTATTTTCATATATTAAATGTAATTTATAATTTTTTTTTTATTACAAAAGATATTACGGTTACTTTAGGTAGGAACAATATTCTTAATTCTTTAAGAAATAAAATAATAATGTTAATTTACAAATAAATAAAAAATATAATAAATCGGATAAAGTTATTTTAAAAATATTTTATTAAAATTTTATTTATCTTTAATTATATTAAAAAAATCAAATATTTTATATTTAATGCACATAAAAATTATAAATGATATACATTTAATGTTAAAGGATTTTTTTAATTTTTTTTTTCTAAATTACCTATCTTTACGAATTATCTCGAACTTTAAATTATTTTATATACGATATATTATGATTTATAAATATAAATGTTCGTATATTATAGAGATATATCTCCATCAAAAAAAGAAAAAAAAAACTCTATAAATTAAAAATTTTTATGCGCATGTATCTTTCATACAGTATACTACATTTGTGACAATTTTTCACTTAATAAAAACTAATTTTTGTTTGTGTATATTTTTCTTTTAAATATAACTTTTTTGATTTTTCTAATATACTTTTATTATCTTATTTCTTTTTTTTTTTATTTTTATTATTGATAAATATTTATACAATATATGTATATATTTATTTTTTATTATAACTTTTTTTTAAAAAAAATTAGTTTTTCAAATATTTGAAAAAAAATAAGCAAAAATTTATTAAGTACTTAAACTCAAAATAAAAAGTGAAAATAGGTATTTATTTTTAAGAAATTATAATAACAAATCATGTAAAAAGCATATTTAAAAGTCAAATAAATTAATTACAATTTAAAAAAAAAAAAAAAAATACTATTTTTTTAATCACATATTTAAAGTAAAAAATATTTTTTAAAAGTAGTTTTATTTTTTGACAAATTTACTTTATTCTAAAAAGATATTTTTGTAAATTTACTTTTTTACAAGTAATACTTATCAGTTTCAAATTTAATATAAATGTTATTTACTGAATATAAAAATATATCTTTAGTTAAATATAATAGATTTTTTCTTATAAAATTCAAAAGAATGCATTTTTATAGTGATATAAAATGTATTAATAAATAATGATATAACAGAATTATAACATAACTTTTTGAATATATATTATTATAATCTTCTAATTAAATATAAAAAAAAATTACTTTTTTTTTTTTTTCTTTTTTATCTTTATATATTTATTTGATAAGTGTCGATTATTATTACGATGTTTTTATTTTCTTTTTTATTTTTAGTTTTATATATTTATAGCACAATTTTTTATTTTTCGTTTCACTTACGAAATTTAGGTAACTCATTTATATAGTATTGATTTATTAACTGGTTGTTCGGTGACTTTGTTAGAGTACTTATCAGACATAAAAATAAAGAGCATGTAGAGTTGCCTCTACGATTTTGATGTATTTATATATATTTTTAAATGCTTTGAACGAGTAATTCTTAATTATGTGCTCTACTTCGTTATGCATTCTTTAATTTCAATAGGCATTTATTTACTTTAATGAAAATCCCTATTTTTATGAAAAATTTAAATCTTCATTTAACATTTATTATTAATTAAATGTAATTCATTTATTTCGTCGTTATGAGTTATATTCAGCAGTTTAATTATATTGCTGTTAAATTAACAGACATAAACAATTAGTAGAAATGCAAGAAAATTATATTAATATTATATACGTGAAAATTTTATTGTCATAAGTATAAAATTTTCTCTCACAAATTCAAAATATAAATATTACGCAAATTAAACATTTTTATAAACACATTATTATCTTTTGTAAAAAAAATCTCTCTATCAATCATTCTCTTTCCAAAAAAAAAAATAAAAATCTTTTTTTTTTTTTTTTCATCTTCATCTTTTTCAAAAGAAAAACACCTCAAAAAAAAATTCCAATAATTTTTTTTTTTTTTTAGTTAGCACAACCAACTGCGTATTCTCCACATAGCTACTCCCTTTTATATCCAGAAAGGTTAATGAGCCTTTATTAACCATTGTATAACTATATATTTTCCATACAACTTTTATCGTTTATTTTAAGAAGGGTAATAATACATTTTATTAACCGACATGCAATTGTTAAGTAAAAAAAAAAGAAAAAAATTAGTTAATGTTTTTTTTATTTTTGTAATTTAAATACGCAAAAAAAATAAATTTTTACTTTTTTTAAAAGGAATTCAGTGGTCGAAAAATAGAAATAAAAGTTATTGACTAAAAAAACTTATTGTGGTGTATTTTTGTTTAAATTTTAATAAGAAAATTTTATATTAACTATAATGAAATTTTTGTGTCTTGTAGTACTCATGTAATTTAATTTGAATTTTATCAATTGTTTATGCTAGTTAATTTGAGAGCAATAAATTTGAATTGTTGAATATAAATCATAAGTAAAATAAATGTAATTAATGGTTTATTAATTTCCTATTCATTACTTTACTAGAGTATTGAATAAAAGGATTAACAATGAGCATGTAGAGTTTCTTCTACAATTTAAATTAATTTAAATTTGTTTTTAATACTATAAACAATTGAAATGTATATTGTCTTCCTCATTGAACATTTATTGCTTTTATGAGGCATTTAATTATTATAATAAAAATCCCTACTTTTATTAAAAATTTAAATCTTTATTAAATGTATTTTTAAATCACATATATTTTACTTATAATATTATGAGTTATTTTTAACAATTCAAATTCACTTCTTGCGAATTAGCAAATATAAATAACAAAATGCAAAATAAGTTATACAAGAATGCAAACATAAAAATTTTATTATTGTTAATATAAAATTTTCTCTTTAAAATTCAAAGATAAAAATTTGCCAGGAAAAAACTTTTTATCAAGTTTTCTTCCATTTTTAATAACTTGAGCATTATTTTCACACTATTCAATTCTTTTTTTTTTCATTTATCTTGTACTTTCATGTCTATTAATTTTCCATATAGCTATTAATTTTTTTCTCAAAAAGGCTAATAATTCCTTTTATTAACAAATCTTTAAATCTTATAATTCTCAATAAAAACTTTTTTTTTTTCCTTTTTGTGTCCTTTTTTTGTCATGTAGGTAAACTGGTAATAATTCTGCAACCAACTTTTTTTTTTCTATTTTATCCTCTACATTTACTACCTGATTTATTTATTTTCCATAATTGATTAATAAAAGGTTTCATTAACCTTTTTGGCTATAAAAAGGACTAGCTATATGGAGAATACGTAGTTGATTGTGCCAACTAAAAAAAAAAAAAAAAGATTTTTATTTTTTTTTTATGGAAAGAAATAATTTATCGGGAGAAGGATTTTTCTTTAACAAAAGATAATAATGTTATCATAAAATAGTTTAATTTTCATAATATTTATATTTTGAATTTGAGAGAAAATTTTATACATGCGATAATAAAATTTTCACGTAATTAATATTCATATCATTTATTTGCATTTTTACTAATTGTTAATGTTTGTTAATTCAATAGCAATATGTTTAAATTGCTGAACATAACACATTACAAAGAAATAAGTAAATTACATTTAATTAATAGTCAATATTCAATAAGAATTTAAATTTTAAATAAAAATAGGGATTTTTATTAAAATAAATAAATGCCTATTGAAATTAAAGAATGCTGAACGAAGTAGAGCACATAATTAAGAATTACTCGTTCAAAGCATGTAAAAATATATATAAATACAACAAAATCGTAGAGGCATCTCTACATGCTCATTATTTATTTGTTTGTTCAGTACTCTAGTGAAGTCACCGAACACCCACTTAACATATCATTGATTTACATTTTCAATTTATCAAATTATCATTCAATGAATTTGCTAGAGTAATGGTTTATAAAAGGCTTCATTAACCTTTTTGGAAAATAAAAGGACCAGTTAAATGAAGTATGCGAAGTTGGTCATGCATACACACACACAAAAAAAAAAAAATTGATGTTTTTTTTTGTTTGTACTTTTTAAAAAAAAAGTACAAAGACTGTCAGAAAAAAAAAATTTGATAAAAAAAAATGTAAAAATAGTCAGGAAAAAAATTGATGAAAAAAATCAATTTGTTAAAATATTTGTTACTAATAAATAAATAATAAAAAAAAAAAAAAAAAAAAAAAAAGATTCTTTTTTTTGAAGACAAAGGAATTAAATGAAAATATTTTTATGATGAATTTTGTAAAAGAAAATTTTATACATATAACAATAAAATTTTCATGTAATTAATATTTATATAATTTATTTGTTTTTGTCAATAATTGTTCATGTTTGTTAATTTAACAGCAATATATATTAATTGCTGAAAGTAACTCATAACAAATAAACTAGTAATTATAATTAATTAATAATTAATATTCAATAAGTATTTAAATATATAATAAAAATAAGGATTTTTATTAAAGTAAATAAATACCTATTGAAAGAAAAGAATGCTAAACGAAGTATATTTTAATAAAAGATCACTCGTTCAAAGCAAATAAAAATATATATAAATATACAAAAATCGTAGAGACATCTCTACATGCTCTTTATTAATTGGTTTGTTCAGTACTATAATAAAGTCCCCAAACACCCAGTTAATAAATCAAGTAATGAAAAGGAAATTATTAAAGAGAATATGGAGTTCTCTCTAGTAATTAAATCGATATTAAATCTAATTTTAATGATATAAACAAATAAACTGCAATAATGCGGTTCATTGTAAATTTACTCAGAAGAAAATTATGCATTTTATTAAAAACATATATTCACATTAATTATTAACATTTTAGTACAAAATATTTATTGCTTTTTTTAAGTAATTTTCAGTAACATATGTTCACTGCTTTTAATAATAATAAGAATACTTAAATAATAAAAAAAAAATTTTAATTATATTAATATCACTTAACGAAAATTTTATTCATGAAAATTATAAAATATTCTCATGAAGTTATTTTTTTCTAAAAAATTTTTCTCTTTTAATTTTTTTTTTTTTTAAAAAATAAAATATATCTCTACAAAAAAAATTTAGACAAAATATTAATTTTTCTTTATTTTAACTAAATTTTGCGCATGAATAATCATATATTCTCTGTTAAACAATTAATTTTTATTTTCTTAATGGTTATCAAACCTCTTAAAAAGAAATTTCAAAAAATTTGATTTCTTATTTTTTATTTTATTTTTTCCCTGCTCATTCTTAGATTCGGATTCTGTTTTATTGTCTATCATCTCCTTCATAGATTTGGATTCTATTTTATTATTTTTCATCTCTTTCATAGATTCGGATTCTGTTTTGTTATCTCTCATCTCTTTCTTAGATTTGGATTCTGTTTTATTGTTTTTTATCTCTTTTTTACATTCGTCTAAAAATTTCGCAAATTCTGAGCTAATTTCTTCCATAACACTAAAAATTTTTTTTTTTTTTTCCTCTTCTGAAATATCTTGTTGTTGATATATTGAAGATAGATCATTAACTTTTGTAGATGAAATATTATTCCATTCATTATTCCATTTTTGGTCCCTCCATTTAGGGTCCATTTCACTTGTTTCTTCATCAAATTGCTTCCGCAAAATTGGAGTAACGACATTATGCCAGTGATCGCACGGATTCTCGTATTGAACTGGATTTTTATATTCGTTTTTTTTATTATCTAATGCACATTCTTCTAGGCCTCCTTCAGCTTTAGTTTGCTTTTTATCTGCTATGTCACCCTCTGCTAATAATCTCTCATATTTTAACTCATTTTTTGCTTCCAGTATATTTTTATCAATCAAAGTTTTATAAGAATTACACTATGGATTAAATAAAAATATTTTTAGAGGAATGTTTTTTTTTTTAGAATAGTAAATCAAATGGAATGTTAAAAATAATTAGAAATAAAATATATCTATATGTATATATTTTGTAAATATTTTAACTTACTTTATTAAAACATGGATACATCCAAATTAAAAGAAGGAATGAAGTAATTTTTAAATATAAAATTAACGTTTTCATATTAATATATTAATATATTTATAGAATAATAATGAAGTGGAAGTTGTTAATTCAAGTGTAAAATTGTTTCAATTTTCAATAATACTAAATTATGGATTTGTAATATTAATTTAGATATTATTATAACTTATATTAATTTCTTAAATTTTTAAAATAGAAAATGATTTTCATATATGAAATGTAATTTATAATTTTTTATTATTACATAAGATATTATGGTTACTATAAATAGGAATAATATTCTTAATTAATTAGAAGATAAAATAAGAATGTTAATTTACAAATAAATAAGAAATATAATAAATAGAATAAAGTTATTTTAAAAATATTTTATTAAAATTTTATTTATCTTTATATTATGTAAAAAAATTAAATATTTTTAATTTAATACGCATAAAAATTATAAATGATATAAATTTAACGTTTAAGGTTTTTTTTTTATCTTTTTTTTCTAAACTACCAATCTCTGTGAATTATGTCGAACTTTAAATTATTTTATATACGATATATTATAATTAATAAATATAAATCTTCGTATATTATAGAGGTATATCTCGATCAAAAAAGAAAAACAAGCTCTATAAATTAAAAATTTTTATACTCATATATTTTTCATGCAGTATACTACATTTGTCAAAATTTTTCACTTAATATGAAACTAATTTTTGTTTGTGAATATTTTTCTTTTAAATATAACTTTTTTGATTTTTCTAATATACTTTTTTTTATCCTAATTCTTTTTTTTCTATTTTAATTATTTATAAATATTTATACAATATATGTATACATTTATTTTATGTTATAATTATTTTTTAAAATAAATTACTTTTTCAAATATTTGAAAAAAAATAAGAAAAATTTATTAAGTATTTAAATTCAAAAGAAAAAGTGAAAATAGGTATTAACGTTAAAGAGATTATGATAACAAATCTTATAAAAANGTTTTTCTCTAAAAAATAATCGTGAATTTAATAAAAGTGCATTTTTTATGATTTATATTTTATTAATAATATATGTAGAATTTTTTCTTACAAGTAAAAATATGTAAAATATAAAAGTGTCTTATATTTAACATAGATATTACATGATATTAAAATAATTTCAATAGTGTATGTATTGGATATATAGAAATATAAATTATCCAAGTAACAGTTCATGAAGTATTAAAATGATTATAATTACTATAAATAAGATAATATTCCTAAGGAAAAGAAATTATTTATAGCTCTGATTTATTAATGGTTATTAAATTACTTTTCTAGTGTCAAACAAATAAATTAATAAGGAATATATAGTGTAAACTCTACTTAATTTTGATATAAAATTTTTATTATTATTAATAAACATTAAATATTGCTTAGTTAATTATTTTCTTTTTAATAAAGAAACACTCCAAAATGTAATTTCCTCAAATATTACATTTTAGCTTAAAATAAAAATGTACATTCTATAGTAGTCTGCATATTATCCTCCAAAAAAAAAAAAAAAGAAAAACTAATTTCTTTTTTAAGATTACATTTTTTTTTGTAATAAAATAAATATCATCATTATATATATTTTTTTTTAATTGTAAATACCCACACATAAAAAATATTACTATTTATTTATTTTTTTTTAATGCACTCACTTTAAGTGCAAGTATGTATATACATATGTTTTTTGTTTACATACTTTTTGAATAACTAATTTAGTGAAGACATTTATTATATCATATTGTCCTTGCGAATTAGCATGCACAAATTGAAATGTTTTTATTCAATTTATTCGTCTAAAATTATACAAAAAAGGTCAATAGTATTGTTTATAGAGCAATGTATTAACCAATTTATTTATTAATTGGGTGTTCGGTGACTTTGTGGTTAATAAAAGGCTTTATTAACCTTTTTGGAAAATAAAAGGACTAGTTAAATAATGAATATGAAGTTGGTCATGTACACAAACAGANTATTCTATAAATATATTAATATGAAAACGTTAACTTTATATTTAAAAATTACTACATTCCTTCTTTTAATTTGGATGTATCAATGTTTTTATAAAATTAAATATTTTTAATTTAATACGCATAAAAATTATAAATGATATAAATTTAACGTTTAAGGTTTTTTTTTTATCTTTTTTTTCTAAACTACCAATCTCTGTGAATTATGTCGAACTTTAAATTATTTTATATACGATATATTATAATTAATAAATATAAATCTTCGTATATTATAGAGGTATATCTCGATCAAAAAAGAAAAACAAGCTCTATAAATTAAAAATTTTTATACTCATATATTTTTCATGCAGTATACTACATTTGTCAAAATTTTTCACTTAATATGAAACTAATTTTTGTTTGTGAATATTTTTCTTTTAAATATAACTTTTTTGATTTTTCTAATATACTTTTTTTTATCCTAATTCTTTTTTTTCTATTTTAATTATTTATAAATATTTATACAATATATGTATACATTTATTTTATGTTATAATTATTTTTTAAAATAAATTACTTTTTCAAATATTTGAAAAAAAATAAGAAAAATTTATTAAGTATTTAAATTCAAAAGAAAAAGTGAAAATAGGTATTAACGTTAAAGAGATTATGATAACAAATCTTATAAAAAGAACATTTAAAAGTCAAATAAATTAATTACAATTTAAAAAAAAAAAAAAATACTATTTTTTTAATCATGTATATACAGAAAAAAATATTTTTTAAAAAAAGTTTTATTTTTTGATAAAATTACTTATTTTATTATAAAAATATATTTTTATAAATTTACTATTTTACTAGTAATGCTTATTAGTTTCAAATTTAATATAAATGTTATTTACTAAATATAAAAATATATCTTTAGTTAAATATAATAGGTTTTTTCTTATAAAATTCAAAAGAATGCATTTTTATTGTGATATAAAAAATATCAATAAATAAAGATAAAACAGAATTATAAAATAATTTTTGCTTATATAATATTATAATCTTCTAATTAAATATAAAAAAAAATTATTTTTTTTTTTGTTTTTTACCTTCATATATTTATTTGATAAGTGTTGATTATTATTACAATGTGTTTATTTTATTTCTTATTTTTAGTTTTATATATATAGCACAATTTTTTATTTTTCCTTTTACTTACGAAATTTAGGTAACCTATTTATATGGTATTGATTTATTAACTGGGTGTTCGATGACTTTTCTAGAGTATTGAACAAACCATTTAATAAAGAGCATGTAGAGGTGTCTCTACTATTTTGTTGTATTTATACGTATTTTATATGCTTTGAAAGAGTAACTCTTAACTATGTGCTCTACTTCGTTCAACCTTCTTTATTTTCAATAGGCATATATTTACTTTAATAAAAATCCTTTTTTTTATTAAAAATTTAAATCCTTAATGAATATTGATTATTATTTAATTGTAAATTAATTATTTCTTTGTTATGAGTTATGTTCAGCAATTTAAACATATAGCTGTTGAACTAACAAACATTAACAATTAGTAAAAATGCAAATTAATTATATGAATGTTAATTACGTGAAAATTTTATTGTCATATGTATGAAATTTTCTCTCACAAATTAAAAATATAAATATTATGCAAATTAAACTCTTTTATATGTAAATATCTTTTATCTATTTAAGATCTCATTTTTATTGGTACTAAATCTTATTCCCGATTTTTATTTTACCAATTTTCTCTCTTTCATCAAATCTTTTTAAAAAAAATGTGTATATTTTTTTTTTACGTATCTCCATTTATTAAAAAAAAAAATAAAAAAAAGTTCAATAATTTTTTTTTTTTTTTTTTTTTAGCGTGTGCGTGACCAACTACGCATTCTTCATGTAACTAGTTCTTTTTATTACCAAAAAGGTTAATGAAGTCTTTTATTAAAAAGCATAAATGAACTCAACAATTGTCCCTTCCTAATATAACTTTTTTCTTAAAAGGTCAAATTTTTTAAGACATCTTTGTAAATATTAATGCTGAATTTTATTAAGAATTATTATTTTTTAATTTTAATTTGTTAAAATCATTGACGTATTATTAATAAAAAGTAGTGTGTATAAATACTATCATTTTTAACATATTAACATTAATTTTTCTCTAAAAAATGATCATAAATTTAATAAAAGTACATTTTTTATAATTTATATTTTTTTAATATTTTTTGTAGAAGTCGTTCTTACTAGTAAAAATATGTAAAATATAAAAGTGTCTTACGTTCAACATAGATATTAAAATAATTTGAATAGTTTGGGTATTGCAGACATAGAAACTTAAATTATCCAAATAACATTTCATGAAGTATTAAAATTATTATAATTATTATAAATAGGATAATATTCCTAAGGAAAAGAAATTCTTTATAGCTCTGATTTATTAATGGTTGTTTAATTACTTCTCTCGTGTCAAACAAATAAATTAATAAGGAAAATGTAGTGTAAACTCTACTTAATTTTAATATAAAATTTTTATTTTCATTTATAAACATTAAATATGACTTATTAGTTAATTATTTTTTTTTATTATAAGCAACACTCTAAAATGTAATTTCCTTAATATTACATTTTAGCTTAAAATAAATATATACATTCTATAGTAGTCTGCACATTATCCTCCAAAAAAAAAAAAAAAAAAACTGATTTTTTTTTTGTAATAAAAAAAATATCATCATAATATACATTATTTTTTAATTGTAAATACCCACACAAAAAAAATATTATTATTTATTTATTTTTTTTTAAGTGCACTCACTTTAAGTGCAAGTATGTATATACATATGTTTTTTGTTTACATACTTTTTGAATAACTAATTTAGTGAAGACATTTATTATATCATATTGTCCTTGCGAATTAGCATGCACAAATTGAAATGTTTTTATTCAATTTATTCGTCTAAAATTATGCAAAAAAGGTCAATAGTATTGTTTATAGACCAATGTATTAACCAACTGATTTATTAACATGGTGTTCGGTGACTTTGTGGTTAATAAAAGGCTTTATTAA